ATTGCTTGAGACCTCTGTGACAGACAAACAAATATTTATAGTTTTTGATAGTTTGGATTCTTGGCTTGATTTAGCAGATCAGCTGTGAACCTTGACTTTGAAATCACATAAATGTCATGGTACCCGAACGAATCCTCGCATGACATTTCTTCGTAGCACAATTTTTCGTCCGCATTTCTTCGTCTACAAATCTTCGTCGGTGCATTTATTTGTCCCTCAATGCTTACTCTTGCATATATTTGCGTTGAAGAAGAAATGCGAGCCGATTTTCATATACCCTGGTGCGAGACAAAGTAATGCGATAGGTACGAATAAATGCCCTGACGAAGATTTGCAGACGAAGAATTGCGATACGAAGAAATGCCATAAGAATTGTCCTGGAATCCTTTATTGGCCATCATATATTGACCTTGATAAGACCAGTATAACGCCTTTTGGGGCGACTAACGGAGCGAGCGAGAGGGTGGGCCTTGCACGTGCGAAATTGCGAGGGGGTACCTCCAACTGACTTGTGCACGGCACCCTACTAACCGGTCTCTAGCGATGTGCCAAATTTGGGCACAATCGGCCCAGCCGTTCTCGAGATCTGGAAGCGGCACCCTGCACGTGCGCACGTGCAAAATGGGTTCCAACTGACTTGTGCACGGCACCCTACTAACCGGTCCCTAACTGTGTACCAAATTTGAGCGCAATCGGTCGAGCCGTTCTCGAGATCTGGAAACGACCCCTGCACGTGCGCACGTGCAGCAGCACCCCAACTCTGGCACATGGATATGCAGTGCCTAGTGGGTGCCTACCTACATGCCAACTTTCAGCACAATCGGCCAAGTAGTTACCGAGATATTGCAACAATTACAAAACTGACACCTCTTCGTTTTGCACGTGGCACGTGCATAAGGGGTCACCCACATGCATCGGGAATAGTCCAATACTTGGTAGAAGGAATGAAGCTAACCTACAAAATTTACCGCATGTAAATCGGTCAAGTGGTTGCTGAGATATAAGCCTCGCAAAAGCGTGACCACGGCCGGCCGGCCGGCCGGCCGGCCGCTCATACTCAGAAATTTCCGTTAATCTAAGGAAAGACTACGCTCGCTTCGCTCGCTCCGTAATAAACGCATCATTCGCGCAATATTTGTCGCACTTTGATACCAAACTATTGCTACCAAACTATTGATAGCACCGAAATATTGGCAAACCTTTTATTTAATAATGATGAAAAGCAAATGGAGAAAAATAAACATAGTGTTTACAAGATGTGGGAAGCAAGAACAAAAAGGATGAGGCAGTGAAGTGTCAGCAAAACAGTGCAACTATGAAAATTTAAAACTATGAAATGATGACAAAGAATGTAAAGAAAAAGATTACGAAAACAATATTTTCAAAACAATATTTTCAATTAAAGCCAACTACATAGAAATAACATGAAACAAAACAAACCGAGAAAAACATCACTGAAAATGTCATAATAGGTACTTGATACCTACTTTGTAGTATGTGTTCGTGTTCGTGTTGGTCGTGTCATGTAAAACTGTTGTGTTTGTGGGGGCCGCTGCAAAGGCATTACCCAAATAAACGTCATGTCATGTTGCTTCCAAATGCCGACGTAAAGAAAACCTTTATGTGACGTCATAGAAACAGCGGATTTCCCAAAAAGTAAACAAAAATAAAAGTCTTATATCTCGAAAACGGGTGAATATTTTCCGGTAAAATTTGGTAGATGTTCATTTTCGCTCTTTGTGATTCACGCTACATCACTTTTATGCCAATTCAATAACTTTTTTGAAGGTGGGAGGGTCCCTTTAACCGAAGGCCTCGGCCCCATTGGAGCCTGAAAATGTCCCACCAATCGGGCACGCATGGTCCACCGCCGTTCAGTAAGGAACGACACAAAACGATGATTTTGAAGCATTGAGGCAGTTCGAAGCATACGATCATCAAGGAGATACCTCAGAAAGACGTTAAATAATGCAGGAACAAGCTTGTAGTCATAAATGACCTTCAAACGGTCCATCTGGCGTATGTGCAACCTCTGAAGAATCAGTCTTCAGGGAGAAACAAAAAACAGCGAATCAGACACCACCAGGGCCGCCAGTAGCAAAATCCTCGACCTGCCTTTTCTAGACTTCTAGTTTTTGGACCCAGGTATGGCAGATAGGTATAACAAGAAAACATTGGAAATATCTGGCAGAGCTGAAAATGGGTGATAGGAGCCTTTTCAGTCCGCCTAATGAGCATGGGAATCCATGGTACTGTTTAACACGTGCTCAGGCGGGCTGATTCGTGTCGATGAGAGAGGGGGTAACTTCAAGCACAAGTAAAATACACGATGGACGTTCCTTCACATCGTGTCTGCATGAAATCAAAATGTCCCAGAATGCTCGTCATGCTGGTATATAATTTTACCAAATATTTGCATTTTAACGCCACTAAACCTCATTACTTTTTAACAAGTAAAAAAAATCACCCTGTACGTGTAGTATTTCAGAAGATATTGCGAAAAAGTGAGTTGAGAGGCTCTTTAGACCCCTCCCCAGTCATGTGCGGGAAAATAAACATCGCAACTTATATTCATTGCTTGTCGAACTGTTGATGTGTAAATTGTGCAGCGAGTGGATGAGGTAATGCATGGGCATGGATGAGAAGGTTATCTCATCCATGGCATGGGTATTGTTGCGGTTATGTAACGCTCTCCGTCCGGCGATTGCGACTTCGCTCGGCGCTGTGGCGGGGTGCACTTGTATTTGAGCGCGGCTCGCGCGGTCGCTCCGCGCGGCCACCGTTGCGGGTGCCCGCGTATGTGAAACGAGTGTGCTGTCACGTGCTAGGCCGAGCAGAGGTCAGGGTCTCCCGCCGGACGGTGCGTCAGTTAGTATTCAGTACTGACTCGGACACCACCTCCCGCCGATCCCCGACCGCTACCCACCTGATAGGTTACGGCTGAATTGGTATTTTGTACCATGAAGGCTGCTATCCTCTGCCTTTAAAAACCTGGGATATCGCTCCGGGTTTTTAAGCATCTGTTATTATTTTACCGTTCATTTTATTATTGCTCGTTCGTTTTGCCCGCATGTTTCTTTGCCCGCACGTTTGAATGCCCGAGGTCAAAGACAATACAGACCTATTTTGTATACATTCTTTCAGTTCAGGGGTATATCGAGAACTGCACAGCCACACAGGTATCTTGTACCTTCTTTGCTGACGTTAACATACAGTCCACGTTCTCTCGCGCGCAGCGAGCCGCCGGCAACAGGTATACTCGTACATACATTACATATAGTTTATGCTTAGAGCGCTTTGGGGTTGAAAAGTAATACGTGCAGCAACAAAAGGTACAAAAATGAGCAAAAACGGCAAAAATAATATGAAAACAACAAAACCATGCACGATGGGGAGTGTACCCATGTATTTGAGTAAAAGCACATAAAAATAAAACCTAAAGCTAACATGCAGCTTGGAACAAAAGTCTCCTCTCTGTCCTAGCATGCCTATCAGCAGGGAACTATCAAAGCTGATAACAAAAGCTTCGACCTATGGTATATATGTTACAGGCAAAGTAAAAACTCGGGCATTTTGCAAAATGCCTAGGCAATTTGCAAAATGCCTGACCGGCTAGGCATTTTGCAAAATGCCCAGGCAATTTGCAAAATGCCTGACCGGCCAGGCATTTTGCAAAATGCCTAGGCAGTTTGCAAACTGCCTGACCCACCAGGCATTTTGCAAATTGCCTAGGCAGTTTACAAAATGCCTGGCGGGTCAGGCATTTTGCAAAATGTCCGAGTTTTGATTGATTTATTTTACCGTTTTTGTTGACGGCAGGCGTTGACCACAAACGTTCCCATGTGCCTGAGCCCCAAACACATTCAATATTTACGAATATACCCACGTCTTGCGCCACTTTCGTCGAGATGGAGCTAGTACCGAATGGACTGTGTAGATTGAGCCAACGTCTCCCTACCTTTCGTATACGGAGTTGTAGCCGTGTGTATAGCTGCGATAGGGCGCAGAGCAGAGCACAGAGAAACATGGACATGGAAAAACGGCGACCGGCCGAATATTGACCCGACATTCCTCGCCTCCCGTGCTTACATCACGGCAACGGAGGGCTGCAGCGACACGGGGTTGCCACCGATCGATAGAAGAGATAAGCGTATCCAATAAGCATTTTTGTTAGTCACGTGTCACGCGGAAAGAAATAGTCTCTATATCTTGAGGAATCGGCAATTTTTGGTGCATTTCAGGAAAAGCATTGGCATTTAAAAACAATGCATTGTAATGTAATGAGACGAAATGCATTCCATGGACTTCAAGAGCATGTGTCTTTTCAAGAAATGAAGTTTTTGGTCGTCCACGACCGCCGTGCATTTATAATAAAAAGACGCTTACCTACATATTATAAGTTTTACATGCAACGGGTATGTTCATCATTACACGGTCATAATGCATTGATAATGCAGACGTGTGGCCCGCTAATCAATCTACCATACATCGGAAGCACATTCTTTTCTGATTAATATCAACCCAAAGTATTTTCAAAAAATCATCAAGGCTCTCACTGAACCGTGTTTAACGCGTGTTTGCCGATAAAACCGCGCCGGGCGCCCGGCAGCCGGCGCGGAGGCCGGGCCGCCGCTGCCTGGGGCTCAGTGACCTTGAACTCGGCAGCGCTACCCGGAGAATGTCTCACTGTACGTCCTCCCACTTGGTGCGCATCGCTTGTGATAAACCTCTGTAAGCGGCACTTACAATGATGCTTACGCATCGTCGCTGGTGTGAGTTCGATGTCAGGCATTTTGCAAACTGCCTGATAAAATAATTTCAGGCAGTTTGCAAAATGCCTGGTGGGCCAGGCAGTTTGCAAACTGCCCAGGCATTTTGCAAAATGCCTGACGGGTCAGTCATTTTGCAAATTGCCTAGGCATTTTGCAAAATGCCTGGTTTTTCACTTTGCCTGTAACATATATACCCACATATGATATCTAACTCATTAAACAAAGCACTGTCAACATGTGTCCCTACGAACATTGAAATTTATTTTCACAAAATAACCAGACAGCATGCCAAACTAATAAATCCTGCACCATATCCAAGCGATAACAGGAACGACTACAACTACATAACGGCGGAAGGGGTACCTTTACAGCTAACCGTAACAATACTGCCTCCGTTTAAAGGAAGCATCAGGGGCGGCCAACGTTAACGGGGCAACAACTCGGGTGGTTAACAATGTAAGCCAGCAAACAGGAGAGGCTGACAATGGACGGCAACATGGGCGGCTAACAAATAACGGGCGCCGCCCCGTGCGCGTCAGTTATCAGACTCAATGACTCAATGTCCGCGTCACTGAATGGTCGTTACAAACGTGATCAGGAGTTTCACTCGTTATTTGACAGAACACAAAAGGAGTAATACGTTAGAAAATATATAAAATATATAGGCATTAAACACTCGCATACTAAACACAAAAAAACATGCAGAAACCTCAACAAAACAATTATGTAACAAAACTGTAACAACTCAGCATAGTCGCGGCATAGGTAACCAAAGTAAAAACATTAAAAATCATAACAGTGTGAATGAAGCGTGCATGGATATCATTTTCACAGAAAATGCATCATAGCTTGCTAAGCGTTTAATGTTTCGCATTTTTTTATTCGCATTTTTCGCATTTTTTAATGTTTAAACTACGCCTTGTCTGCCGTGTTTTTCTGTGATTATCAAATGACTCTTATCCTGATCCTGAGAGTGACGTAATTCCTGTTTCAGGCTGAGTAAGTTACGTGTTTCGCATTTTGGCGAAAAAGTAGGAGCGCAGTTCATTTTTGTCGATCTCTGAGGCGCGTTTGTCCTCGGGGATCCCGGTCAGCCACGGGAAGGAGAACAGTTTCCAGAAGCCCATGGGCACACGGTGCCAGTACGAGAGCGGCGGCCCCCAGCTGAAGCAGTAGGCCTTGGAAAGCAGCGACTGCTCGGTCCAGTACATCATGTAGAAATTGCACATCTCGTCGTCGGCAGTGGCGCTGTAACATTGGCCCAATGGTGGTCACCTTTCGCTTTGGTAGTTTGTCCTGATCACATTGACTTATCAATAAGGTATCCGGTTAGTCAGTTTACTATTTACAAGTAAGCTCATATTTACAAGTTAGTCTCAAATGAAAACTCGTCAGCATTGGGGCGTTCCACGACAAATCGACAAGTGCCCTGCACCCTCATATTTTATTTTTTGCTTAAAATTGGTATAATGGGTTGTGATGGGCAGGGAAGCCAGCTGTGGCAAGGATTTTTTTCTTCGAACAACGGTTTCCGAGATATAGCCTCGGGCAATTCCTGGAGTTCGCGCTGCAGCCCTATGTTTGGCGGCCTATAACTCAGAAACTATTGGTTTTTTACGATAAAAAACTTTATATGGTTCAACACACAATCAACCAACAAACATTTTGGCTATCTCGGATTTTCAATTTTTGAAAATTTTGATCACGTGACCTTTTGACCTATTTTTCGAAGAGTGACCTTGATATTTTCCCCACTGAAAGTTGCAATTTTGTCTGATGACGATTAAAGCCTTATCAAGTGTCATTCATATGCGATAATAAAAAAGTGGTTTTCGCCCTGCGTTGACCTCAGGTCAGGTCATTTTTATGACCTGTCCATTATTACGAGCGGGAGCGACAGCGAGATCTCGAGAATAAAGCAAGATAGCGACAAGCGGTAAACGGTAAAGGGTACACACGGATAAGGTCTATAATTTTTACTGAGGTCATTTTCAGGTCAGGTCAAAGATGACGTCACAGGAGCTAAAAGGAAGTCAAAATAGCGGCACTATACATATATATGAAGTTTTTCTCGAATAACTTTCAAGGTATCCCAGCTAGGAACAAACTAATAGCACCATCGTGATCCTCTCGTCGATCCGCATCGAAACATATGTATTTTGACCTCGAAAGGTCGAAAGGTCAAAAGTTGACCTTAGGTCACGTGATCTAAGGTCAACTTTTGACCTTTCGACCTTTCGAGGTCAACATACATATGTTTCGATGCGGATCGACGAGAGGATCACGATGGTGCTATTAGTTTGTTCCTAGGTGGGATACCTTGAAAGTTATTCGAGAAAAACTTCATATATATGTATAGTGCCACTATTTTGACTTCCTTTTAGCTCCTGTGACGTCATCTTTGACCTGACCTGAAAATGACCTCAGTAAAAATTATAGACCTTATCCGTGTGTACCCTTTACCGTTTACCGCTTGTCGCTATCTTGCTTTATTCTCGAGATCTCGCTGTCGCTCCCGCTCGTAATAATGGACAGGTCATAAAAATGACCTGACCTGAGGTCAACGCAGGGCGAAAACCACTTTTTTTATTATCGCATATGAATGACACTTGATAAGGCTTTAATCGTCATCAGACAAAATTGCAACTTTCAGTGGGGAAAATATCAAGGTCACTCTTCGAAAAATAGGTCAAAAGGTCACGTGATCAAAATTTTCAAAAATTGAAAATCCGAGATAGCCAAAATGTTTGTTGGTTGATTGTGTGTTGAACCATATAAAGTTTTTATCGTAAAAAACCAATAGTTTCTGAGTTATAGGCCGCCAAACATAGGGCTGCAGCGCGAACTCCAGGAATTGCCCGAGGCTATATCTCGGAAACCGTTGTTCGAAGAAAAAAATCCTTGCCACAGCTGGCTTCCCCGCCCATCACTACCCCTTACACCAGTTTTCAACGAAGAATAAAATGTGAGGGTGCAAATTTAATTTTTTATTTGTCGATTTGTCGTGGAATGCCCCATTGCGACTGACCCAGTCTTGATGTTGGTCATAAGGTATGTACATACACGATTGCTCGTGTTTGTATGGTGTCACTGCTTTTTAGTAGTTATGAAGCACGGATTATAAACAGCGTCACACATTATTTGCCACGCCGGGGTGGGGAGGGGACGGACGGACGGTTTTCGGACACACACATTTCGAGCTATTGGTGAAACCACGGGAGCCTCGTGCACCAGAATACCTATCAGTTCCCTGTGAAAATTCATAGTTTGCTGATTCTACTTAGCTAGGTATTCTGGTGCAAGACGCTTCTAGGTCACCGGAACCCTTCACCCATGGATGGCATACGGACCACGTGCGGCATACCTATTTACAGAGTGAATGCATGACAGCACTGTGCATTTAACAGTGTGCGTTCCTTATGTACATGATTATGCATACAGAACTGACCGCCAACGTTGTGTTGCAGGGATTGGTGCAGCATTGAATGCTCAAGGAAGTAACCTTTTAATTTGTCCCAAAAATCAAAATGATGATTGCATTTCGAAATACGATACCCTGGCTCACGAGAAAATAAATACTTATTTTCAGTTTTCAATCGCCGAACCATTAGCTAGTAGCCTAGACTGACACACGATCCGTGTCGCTGGCCTTTGCTGAACACAACTGTGCGTGAGCGTGGATCTCCGATCACTTTGAACACACCTTGGGGACGATTGTTCACGGTGTGCCAAAGTAGGCACGGATCTCTTCGGTCGTGATCTCCGAGGCTGCCGATATGGACGGCACGTTGGAAAACTGGCGCATACCCATTTCGTTGCTCTTCCACGAATAGTACGGCGGCCCCAGCGTAATGCAAAGGCTCCTTCCAACCGGCTTGCTCTTTGTCCAGTACATCATATAGAAATTGCACATTTCATCTTGGGCTCGGGGGCTGCAATAGAATGGCCGTGAGGTGCAAAACTCTCCATAGGCTTGGTACCTTTAAGGCTGGGCTGATCACTATCAGCACCACAATATAATCTCTCAATGTTTTTTTTTCGGATCTTCGAAGACAGTGAGCGAAGTTGAGAAAATGGAAAACTTTACCGCATCTGAATTGAAAGTGAGGTTTCCACATGCTCATAGTACAGCGCTAGCTAGGAAGAAGATGAATGATTATACATGATGTATAATGTAGACCAGGCCTTTACCTTATATGAATTTAATTGAGGCATGCGTGTGAGTGGGCTGGCTTGTGTTTTCGAGTGGACATTCGCGTATATCTCATCGCCTAATAACCTTGCAGGTTTAGCTCTGGCACTCGATATATGGAATTCCGGACGGGGTTTCATATACTGCGACTGGTGGACGCAGCCGCAGCCAGTTGAAGTCAGGAAGTTGAACAAAGCGTGCTCAGCTGTGTGTGCACGATAAACTGTGGCGTCATGGCCCGAAAGTCCCGATAGGATGGAAGCATAAGAATCTAAGGTCTGCGCAGTAAGCTCAGCCTAGACTGGGCTCTGGCCTCGTTACTTCGTTTATTTAAAACAGTAATTTAATTTAGTTAAACAAAATGGCATATGCCTCTTCTCAGGAAAATGTTAAAAAACCTTAAAAATTTCTTTAATCAGTAACAAAGTTAGGCTTAATCGCAGTTGCATCCTATACCTACCATGGAAAAATACTAATCGTTTTTAGCGAATAATCCGATAATACATCCAGATCGTTAATACTGGTTGCATTTAAAGGGACCCTCCCACCTTCAAAAAAGTTAATGAATTGGCATGAAAGTGATGTCGCTCGGTTCAGAAAGAGCAAAAACGAATATCTACCAAATTTCATCGAAAAATATTCACCGGTTTTCAAGATATTAGACTTTTACTTTTGTTTACTTTTTGGGATCTCCGCTGTTCCTAGCGACTTTATTTGAAAGTGCGGCATTTGTTGCGCGCAAAGCAGCATATACCACCGCGTGCTACAAAACGTTTTAGTCAAACATTTAACGGACGTTCGAAAGCCTGATGACGTCATCAGATTCCCGTAATGGTTAAGAGATAGGGACCACGCTGGTCCCACCCTGCAAGTAAACGGAAGAAATTTCTTGAACACCATAAAGCTGCGGGGGTTGCGACCAGGATAAATGGTGGTTTCTGAGCCTGGCCGCAAACTTGGCTATCTCAACTCAAAACTAATGTTAAGGTGGGAGGGTCCCTTTAATGCCTCAATAGCATTTCACATTTTGTGTCATTAACCCGCGCCCGGCTGGGGGTCCTGGATTTCCACGCCCTGCTGGGGGGGGGGGGTGTTTGAACACCCCCCCTTTGTAACCCGGCTCCTGGGCCACGTAGCGATACGCGGAAGGCGGCGTTCGAAAGAGCGTAAAAAATAATGATGAAATCACTTCGGTCATTTTTTTGGTCAGGTCAAAGGTCAGGTCACCAGAGGTCATTGAAGGCAAAATTTCGCCGATTTCCAGGTCGAATGTCGAAAATTTCCAAGAAGCCAACGCATAACTCGGGAACCAATAGAGCTACAGCGCCGCGGAAAAGCGCATTCGATAGCCCTATTAACGCCCTTTCTGAATTATTCTCGCAGTTTTGACCTAACGTCAACGGTTTTGCCTGCAGGGGGCAAAAACTGCAAAAATAACCGATTTTTTCGGAAACAGTTTTTCTGCAATAACTTTTGACCCAAGCCCTGTACGAGCTTACTTTTACCGGCATCGTGTTCCTCTCGTCAAGACGCATCGAATGAACTATAACTTGACCTTGAAAGGTCAACTTGAAAATTTGACCTCAGGCCAAGGTCATGACCTGACCGGAAAGGGTCATGTTGCATATCAGTCGATCCGTATCGTCGAGCTGAACACATCTAAGGCGTTTTCATCGCTCTAGCATGCCTCTATCAAAAGTTATTTGCGAAAAACTGTTAGATACCATTCGTGACCTAAGATGACCTCAGGGCATAAACAAGGGTCACGGACACCATTTTCATGTTCAGTGTGTCTAAACCACTTGTAATTCGGTGTTTTGGAGTGTTTATAATGTCTTTCGTCCAAAAGAGGCGCATTTCAATTTTCTCCCATTGACTTATAATGGGGAGGTCGCAAAATTGACCTGACCTTAGGTCATCGATATCTAAATTCTGAGATATACATTTTGTACATACTATTGCTCTTAGCAATCGCTGAAACTTTCAAAGCGATCGGTCATTCGGTGTAGCTATGACAGACATTGAAACTTTTTATGAGGTGAGGTCACTTCAAGTGACCTGGTGACCTGACCTTGAATGACCTTGGTCTGAAATTTTCACAACCTGTGTAGAATTTATGTATGATAAGGTGTACCAAAAACGGCGGCTTCGCGAAAAACCACAAGGGGGGGGGTGTTCAAACACTGTATTTTTTTAACACTGTTGTATTTTAACCCCCCAGCAGGGCGCGGGTTAAAATACAACTTTTATGATTTTTTTTTTATTTTTGACAAATATATTTATAATGCATATTTGCAACGCAAAGCCTTGGAAAGCACAAAGGCTCGTTTCAGGCAAGATGAAAACATCTCCATTATAAACTTCAATAGGGTATCATGATATGAATTTTCATAGAACCGTCCGTAGTCGGAGTGGGAGTTGGAGTCGAAGTTGGAGTCGATTTTTTAAGCCGGAGTCGTAGTCACCCTAAGATCCATCGACTCCGCAGCCCTGGTATTGACAACAAAAGCCATACGAGTACAAAGCTTTAAGTCTCAAGCAAAAAGTACACGAATGGAAGTGAGTTTTGAATGGCGATAACAAAGCTTCCACTGTAATGCGTTATAAGAAAACAGGTTAATTGCCTTCACCATGGTTGCTATCATGCACGCTGCATCCTGCAAAAGTCCATGCTGGCGACCAAAGCACTGAAGAGCTGCTGTTTGAAGTAGGTATGCTGAACGCTTTTCTGGTGGCCTCATTGATCATGGTACATGCAATCATTGATATCATCTTGGATTTTAAAATGATGGATTGTGAATGGCCAAGATCATGCATGACATGCCCCAGCAAGTCGTTATGCAAGCACAAGTGGTAGCGACAGAACATTTTCAAAACGATGCATACGCGGAATGAAACGATGAATGCACATTCAATATTCCGTGATACAGAAA